CATGTAGGCGCATAAAAATCCAATTTGACTCTCTCAACAATACCGGTACTTAATATATAAAAAAAAGAACAGAATTCAAATATCTGCCCTAGTTTGGGAAATCATGGATGTTTTTCTCAGTATGAGCAAAATAGTTTTTAGTTTCTTAGTATGTTTTTACGACTTAAACCAACAGTTCCACCCATATGCATGTTTGTTTTCTGTGTAATCAACTAAGTGAAGAGATCAGGGCCATTGCAGCAACATAAATGTTGTATCCAAATCCAGATCGATCTTTACTGAGATCCATAAACCACTTTGGCACTTGTTAGAAAGTTACTTGAATCTCTGTCATGTCCGGTTTATATCTTCAACTTCCAGGTACATCCGAATGCAGGAACCTTCGCTTGGTTCAATTTAAAAACTTTATACCAAATCTTGCAGACTTAATAGTATTGTTTGAATCCAAGTCTAACATAAAACTTCATGTGTGATTCATCAATCGCAATATCATGTGATGGTGTGTAAGCTGATTTTAATTTCTTATTCAGAATGTCAACAACAGGTCAAATTTTAAACAGTCTGGATGGAATGCCTTCATCTTCTACATTATAGATAAACTGGTTTGCGTGGTATATAAGTATATCCATCATGACTCATGAGGTATAATACAGACTAGGGTATAAGGTGTTTTAATCTCCAATCCATCTCAATTTTTGGCTTACATACTATAGGCTACCAATCAAAATCGTTTTCTGGTGTGAATGTTGCATGTGCAAAAACATAATTTTCTTCATTAGAGCTGCCAATAACTATGTAATTCATAATAGCAACATTGATTCTAATTCTTCATCACTTCGATAGGATGCATTATCGCTGCCTTCACTTGAGTCACCCTCCTCTACTAAATTATTTCTAATCTGATTTTCATCCAAACTGAATTTTCGAAAGGGAGACAACTGTCTCTTACATCCGCAAATTCTTTATGGCTCAAAGGCCTCAACACATCATTGAGATGTTCTGGAGTAAGCTTATGGAATAGAAAGACTCANACCAACAACACCAAGTGGTGAAAACTAAAATTTTAGGTAGACTAGACCATAGACGACCCTATCAAAATAGCATCAAATCAAACTAAATTTTTTATCCCTTCAGTATGGTAGCATGAAAAGCTGAAATATTCATAAAATCCAAA